TGCTTTTGACAGATGAAGAAGACGAGAAAGGGAAAAGGCAACCCAGGAAGAGAATCCAAATGGAGCTGTTACTTAATAGAAGAAGAGAGTGACAGGGGGAGCCCTGATTTGGAGAAAGTGTGTGTGAGAGAGGAGCCGGAGGTGGAGGGGGTTAATGTAGTGGCAGGTTAAGGAGCGAATCAGTTCGGTTTGCTGTTGAAAGGAAGAAGACAGAAAGGGTAAAATCGGGTTTTAAAAAAAGATATGCGCCATCTGTATACGAATTTAATGGATACAAACGGTAAGGGTAGAGCTAGTCAATTGTCAGAAACAGTAACGGTAGCATTAGTCAATTTTCAAACAGTAGGGATATACTTAGTCAATTAGCTAAACCATAAGGGTAGTTTAAGAAATTTACCCATTTTTAATTGGTTTTTCCAAATGTATTTACCCACACCATGCATCATCGATGAATTTTGAATCTTCCCCACTTGGCATTGGTTCGAACTCTACAAACTAGACTTGGCGATTGGGTTGGGTGGATTGGATTCGGGTTAGGTTAAAATACTTTGGGTTGGGCCACAAATGCTATACCCAACCTTAAATGTTCAATTTAGGGTCGAACCATTGGTCAATTTGGGTCATCTCGAAAAATTATTGGACATTTAAAAAATAAAAAAATATAAAAAAACAAGATTAAAGGAATTAATCATAAAATTCTTAATAGAAAATTAAGAACTTGTTTAATAATTCAAAGAGTAAAGATTAAAGAATAGAAACTTCTAACAATATATAAATAGTTTTAATTAAACCTATCAGTCAAGTCAACAGATTGACCCATGATTCAACCTAGCCCAGTTTTTCCGGGTTGGGTTGGGTCATTCTTATGTTCAAATAGTGTGTGTTTGGAACCGTGGGCATTTATTAAATGAATACTACCACAGAGACACTATTGTGCCACTTCAGCATTTCTCCCATTATGTGAATCCATACGCATAAGGACTTACAAAAGTAAACTTTGGTTTATATGCACATTTACCATTTGAGAGAGTTTCATTTTAACACTTCCCCCAACAATGAATGGACATTTATTCAATATTTTGCTGATATGGCACCTAGAATGCATCATTAATTTTCTTATTTTTCTAATAAATCAAATACAAAATGTTTATTTCAATAAAACTCCACGGTTACAAACACATACACCTCTAACCTTGTTTATACGAATTGGGTTGGATCAACTTTTCGCTAGTAATACTCCAAACACTGGTATTTGAACAATAACTACCCCAAATTTACAATATCGGGTCAAAGAAGCTTTTAATCGAATTAAAAACATTGGATGATTGTTGAAGATGTCACGTCGCCATTGACGTCTAATGTTTAGTTTTCCCATGTTCTTTTCAAGAGTTATATACCTCAAATTTACACTATCGGGTCAAAGAAGCTTTTAATAAGCATTGCATGATTGTTGAAGATGTCACGTGACCAATGACGTCTCATTTGGAAAGGATGCAAATTGAGTGTAAATCCCGTTGAGGGTAAAGTTGTATTCTGATTCATTTTTGTTTGGACCAATGTATATTTATATTGATAATAAGATGTAAAAATACATCAACAAAAAAGAAGTAAATTTGTATTTAAGTGGGTTTTTGATAAAATATATATATATATATATATATATATATATTTTATTAGAATTTATGTTTACATCTACTATAGCTAAAAGTCTGTTTGATAAGAAAATAAATTTATCGATACAAAATTAATCCAATTTTACAATTTATATAAACCGTTTTACACTCTACAAGGCTGTTTCAAATAACCGAAAATCGGATTTGGTGCCGATAAAATTATGGTTCATATGTTCTCTCAGTCTTTTACAACATTGTATTTGGAAATATCTTTTTATAAATAAAAATATAAAGTAAAGAGATATTCTAACGCATGACTGAAAAGGACGTTAAAAACGATGTGAAGGACTGAATCAATCCAAAAAAAATAATGGATGCAATACACATGATAATGACTAGTTTGTAGGTGGTTTGCACCAGCCAGCATCCCTCTTTATATAATTGCCACCAGTTGGGATTTGTTCATCACAGTAGATTTTTTTATAATTGCTAACAACGCTCACCCAACTGCACATTAATAATATAGGTGATGTAAAGTACAACCAAATATTTCTAATATACAACTAATAGATGAAATGTATTAATCAACAGACAGATCCGTTAATCGGTATTAAATGGTAAGTCCCTCGCCTCAAAATTTTTGCTTGCAAAATCTCAAAAGAGTTGGTATACATAATTCCATCCAAAGGGTGGTGGTATAAACGTTTAAAGTTGAACCTGCCTAATCAAACGTGATTTTGTAAAGTGAAAATGTCTATATATATGATGTTTAGATGCATAGGCAGATCTATATATGTATGTGTCAGTGTGGACAATTATTCCTGTGAAAAATGTGCATAAGGTATAAAAAAAAAAAAAAAAATTGTCCTCACTCAATTAAAATAATGACACCCCATGTCCCAAGATCTATTTAAAATCTAAAAACTAAAATAATGAGAGGGGGAACTGGTGTTAAAGCCCAGAACTGCATTTCCAATAAACAACTTTTTTTTTGGCATCAAGGATATTTTGCCAAATTATTAAAGCCCAAAAGAGCAAAACGATTGATATGATTAGAGTTGCAAATCGGGCTGTCACCCGACTTTGGACCAGCTCGGCACGCATGCCATACCAGGCAGCACGATGGTTCAGGGCGGAACAGTTTTTCTTTTTTGGGTGCGTTAATGTGTTAGTTACTAGATTTGTGCGGAGGTTATGATCAATTCGAGTAATTCTGAGGTATATGATGTGGTAGACTAGTCTAACGGTCGAGATATCAATGCTTCAAAGATCTCGATTATGGTTTTCAAAACCGGACCAGACGATCAGACTAGAAAAATCGGGAATAGGCCAAGTGATTGGTTCCATTTTTCTCCAAAACTGGATTTTCTCCAAAAATCGTTGATTTTGGTCAGCAAACCGCTGATCCGGGCGGTTAATTGTTTGAGCAGTTTTGATAATTTTTTTTTATATTTTTTATATTTTTTTATTTTTTTGTCAGGACGGGCTGACCACTCAGTTCGAACAATTGAACCGTTCGACCCGATAACTGGACCCTTGACTGGTTCGATCTTCAGGTTGGTTTTAAAAACCATGATCTCGACTCAATAACGTACTATTGGAATGGGTTAGCGGGCTATTCCTTGTAGGTCATCTTGGATTCCTACAGCTTGGCTGGCTTCTAGGATATAGGTCGTCGTAATCTTACAAGGTCTACTAGGCCTTGCTGAAATAGAAGTCGGCCTGGACAAGGTGCTCCAAACTAACTTGTCGAGCTAGTTTGCTTACTCAACGCCGAGATATCACCCGAAGGCCATGCATTACAATATGATTGAGAGGACCAAATTACCCTCACCAGATATTAAACAATAAATACCCCAAGTATATGTTTGGCATCGATGCTACAGTTGCAACATAGTTTTCTGACTACTGATGTGTAGCTTGGAGCACCATTTTCTTAGAAAATGGTGCATTTATTTTTGTTTGGAATCGTTGCTGTCAGGTAGGACGCTTCCTGGAGCAATAACAACTTTTTCTATTTGGTATCATTGCTCCAAAAAATGTTTTTAACACTGGTACCCATTATCCAGTGCCACATCACTGCTCTGTTGGCAACAACGAGCTGCAGCTTCAGGAAATGTCAAATTTAGCGTTGCTCCAAGCCATGACTTCCCAATTTCTGAGGCATGGCTTGGGGCACCGGTTTTTTTATGAAAAAGCGGTTTCAAATAAATGTCCGTTTCTTGGAGAATCGTTTTTTCGATATGATGCCGTTGCTCCAAAAAACAACAACGATGCCAAAGAACCCCCAAATTTAACCTACTTGGTCAAAGAAGCAGTTAAGCGAATTAAAAGCATTGCATGACTGTTGAAGACGTCATGTCACCAATGATATCTCACCTAAAATACCAATTCAACAAATTCGGTTCAGAAAGAAGCAACTAGAAGTGTACTCCCTCCCGGTGAACAGGATTTGGACCCAAAGAAGCCACAAAATATAGCTATACTTCTAAGGAGCATTAAACATAACAAGCGATAAAGGTCTCTGAACTGATGCACTCTTACATGGTAAGTTGCCTGGTCTTCTTTAGAGGTATAAATTGGGCCGTGCCGCCCGGCCCAGGCCCGGCATGACCATGCCGGCTGTGTTAGGCCTAGTATTTTAGGTCCACGGGCTGGCATGGCATGGCACGGCACGACACGACCGAGTGGGCCGTGCTGCCTATGGTTCGCGGGCTGGCACGGCCCAGCCCATAGCCCGGCCTAGTACAGCCTGTGGCATAGCCCATATATATGTTTTATAATTATATAATAATATATAATATATTAATAAAATAAATATTTTTTTTATTTTATTATACTAATTTATTTCATTATTGCATATATAAGCAATTTTATACACAAAATTCATATAAAATTAAATTTTTAAGTTTTTTTGTCAATTTTTTGAAATAAATAGCTTTGGCCCAATACACGGCCCTACTTGGCCCAAGACTCGGCCCATGGACCCACACGGGCCTGAGCCGTGGGCCATGCCGGCCCGACCCCCGAATTTTTCACTGGGGAGGGCGGCACGGCCCGTGATGGCCTGTGGGCCAGCAAGGTATGACCCGCACAAAGTGCGGGCCACCCACGAGCCGTGCCGTGCTGGCCCGACACGACCCACTTTACACCTCTAGTTTTCTTCCATGTCTGCCTAATGGTACGGGCCTTACAATTTTAGGGCCCGCATGGCAAGTTTTTTTGGAAGATTTTTTAGTAATTCTAATAGTCAAAAGATGCATTGAGATTTTACATGAAAATCTGAGAAACCCGAAGCTAGTTTGGTAGATGTACATCTTTTCATACATCTTTTCGTATCTTTTTGTATTAGAATAAAATGTAAAATACACAAAAGATTCATTTGAAGTTTCCTGAAATCAACCCAAAATGGATTTTTTGCGTCTTTTCAGCATTCTCACTTTTGACCACCAAGTCTTTTGTGAATCAAACAAAAATAGATCGAAAACCGGTTTATCTAGCTTGTAAATAGCCGGAAGACTGCGCAAAAATATGTGCCAAACGGATATCTAGTCTATGATTCATGGAAAGGCCTTATACATCTGCTACACGTCAAATTTGATTCATCCTCGGTCAATCAACGATCCATCACCAAAGTCATCTAAATTACAATTTTCACCCCCGCCACTCCCTCCCCATCAGCGGTTCTTAGGAGAGGAAGACCTACAGAAAAAAAGGTATCAATACTGATTCCCGTTCAAACTTAGGCATTTGAGTCCAAACCTTTCGTTAGAACATGACAAAGGGTAATATTAGGTTTAAAAGAAATATACATCATATGATGTGACATGTGTACAGATTGTGACGAAACACCAATAATGTTAACGACAGGGTAAAATTAGGCTCAAATTCGATTAGGCTTGATTTGAGTTCAATTCTAATCTAGATTGACTTCAATCTCAATCAATAAAAAGTTTGACTAAAGCTCACCAACTTGGCTCGATTAACATACATATAAAAAATATCATATATTATATTATAAAGAATATTATAAAATATATATATTATTCTATATAATATAAGAATATATTATATATTACAATAAAATATCATATATATAAATATATTTATTTTCGAGCCTTTGAGCCGAACTCGAATTCATTAACTGAGCCACATGCCAAACTTCGGCTGGGCTCGGCTCAATTGCAATTTGCAGCCCTACCTATAATCATTGAGAGTGCTTTTGTTTTGTTGTTGCTTTTGCTGTTTCTGTTGCAGATACTGAACGAGGCCCCCAATGTAGTGGTCTTGGTGGAGCTTCACATCGCCAAAAACGGCACGCATCGATGCCGCACGGGCCCTCAGGCTCTCCCCTCCCTCATCCACCATCACCTTCTTCAGAGCCTCGGCGACGTCGCTCCCCTCGAACCTTCCATCCTCCTCGCTTCTCTCCACTTCCACCGCCAACCCTTTCTCCACCAGCTGCCGTGCGTTCAGTCCCTGATCCGCCACAAACGGCAGCACCACCAGGGCGTGTCCATGTTGCAGCGTCTCTATGATAGATCCCCACCCTGAGTGAAACAACGACCCTCCAATCGAAGGGTGCCCCAGAATTTCCAGTTGTGGAGCCCACCCCATGCACACCACCCCTCTACCTTCCGTCCGTCTCCTGAATTCCGACGGCAGGGCGTCGTCCTCGTCCACCGCCCACGTGGGCTTCCTTAAAGCCCATAAAAACGGCAAGTTCGAGAGCTCAAGCCCGTGGGCTATCTCATACACTTGATCTCTACTCAGTTTGCACTCGCTACCAAACGCCACAAACACGACCGTTCTGGGTTTCTCCCCATCAAGCCACTTAAATATCTTGCCCCACTCTCCTTCCCTTTCTTTTGCTTCTGTGCTGCTCGGCGCCGGTGGAAGCAGGCCCACTGGAATCACCGGTCTCCGCCATATCTTCTCGACCAGGTTCAGATAGTCTGGTTCGTATTCCGTGCAACTACGGATGGCCACGGCCTGGCATGCTTCAACAGCTACAACTACTCGCTCGTTGTCCGTTATACTGGACGCGTTTTGCCCAAAGAACCCGGCAAATGCGGCGTTTGCCTCGTGGCGCCGGAAGGCAACCGATGACGGGAACGTGACCCACTCCGGTGGAAACATCATGCTTTCCGGTGACGTCCAGTATTTTGCATGGCCGTCATTGGTAAGGTAGTCCAGGGGTCCGTGAAAGCCCAGCGTGGCAGCAGAGTAGACAGAGAAGGTGATTAATGGAACGCCGTATTCTCGTGCGATTTCGGCCACCCAGAAGGGGATGAAATCTTGGATGATCCAATCGGGTGATTCATTAGCGACGAATTGCTTGACCTGATGGCGCAAGAGATCGTAGGCCGTCTTGAGGTGCTGGATTTCATCCATGGAGACGTCGACGGTGGCCTCAGCTCCGAGGGGTAGGCCCTCGACAGTGGGTAAGCGGAGCTCAACAAAGCGTACGAGAGCAGCTAAATTTGGAGGAACTTTTGGGAGCCTCTGGACGTTCCTGGGAGTGGAGATGAAGGAGACGCGGATTCCGGCCTTGGCCAGAGCCATGGAAAGTTGGAGAAAAGGGATCAGATGGCCGAAGGCCAGCCATGGAACTATGACGACGTGAAGATTGTTGTTAGTCATGTCCCTCTGCTAATTTAGCTATCTCTCGGAGTTGGTTGCTTGCACCAGAATTCCTCCTTATATAATATCAGTAGTAGGGCCCGTGCGATGTAAGAGATTTGTAATAATTTACAGACGAAAATTTTCTTTAGCAAAATTTTTCTTTTTATTTTCAAAAAAAATCGACAAAAACCTCCCTTCCGTTAATGAACCAGACGAAAAACGTTAAACCGGTGATCATTTTTTAAAATACCCATTTTACCCCTATACAAGTTATTGTATATCCATATCCATGTTTACTAAAATACCCTTTCCCTCTCCTATTATCCTGGTTCCTGAAGAATGGGTGAGAAACGAAAGGGAGAGTGGCAACAGGAGAACGAACCAGGAAGCAAATAATTCGAGAAGTGGAATGACTCTCGTGAAGAAGAAAATGACTTGGGCTAGACTCTGCCTTCGGTCCCATTGGAGAACGAACGAACTCTGCTTCAGTTCCGTTGGAGAACGAACGAACTCTACTTCGGTCTCATTGGAGAACGAACGAACTCTGCTTCGGTCTCATTGGAGAACGAACGAACTCTGGGTATTCCGAGAAGTGCAAAATCCTCCCTTCTTCACAACAGGAGAACGAACTCTACCTTCGGTCCCAGTGGAGAGGAACGACGAAGCCCCATTTTAATTCGCTAGGGATTTACCAGTAGATAGAGATGATTCGTCTTCAATTTTAGTTTTGGACCTTAGTTTCTCAGGCAGCACAACTGAAAGTGGTTCTGGTTCTAATTTACCAATGATTTACCAGTGGTTCTGGTAGAACAATGAATGTAATGAATTACCAGTGGTTCTGGTTTTGATAATAGAAGGAAGACAATGAACATAGACCAACATTTCTGACGATGAACCACTAGTAAATCATTTCCGACGATAATAGAAGGATTGATTTACATTGTCATTTTGGCAATGTTGATTGAAGGTTCTGACAGCGGTAAATCATTGTCATTTTGGCAATCTTGGTCTGTCTTCCTTCTATTATCGTCAGATATGTTGATTGAAGGTTCTCATGCAGGATTGATTTACCAATGATACCGGAGAAGGAAGACGATGAATACAGAGCCACTGCCCTTATTTCTGATTTACCATTGGTTCTAGTTCTGATTTACCAATGATTTACCGGTGGTTTAGAAAGCGGGGATTACCGATTAGGTTTCTGCAATTTCCAACCGACCAGATTGCACAATTTTCAACCGATTAGGTTTCTGTAATTTACCATTCCCAAATCTCATCTTCTGTTCTGATGGCCTCAAACGCAACCTCAACTCAATTACTACACCATTTCTTTGGAATCTGTGGTCGGATCGGACCTGCCCCTGTTTTCTTCCTAATCCAATGTTTCCAAAGAGCTACCCCTGTTACGCATGTTTGATGGGTCCTAAGTGACCGTCCAATGTTTCCTAAGCGTCGGTCTCTATCACTCCATTATTACCCACTTACGGTGAAGAAGACAACGAACTATTCCGAACACAACCACTGCAAGATGAAAACGAACTATAGTGAACAAGGAAGAAGAAAACGAACTCTCATGAAGAATGAAGAAGGAAACGAACTCTCGCGAAGAAGAAAATGAACTCTTGTGAAGAAAACGAACTTTGGTGAAGAAATCGGCCAATAAGATGAAACACGACTGATGTAGCGCGATCTGACTATACTGGAGGATGATCTGGCTTCCGATCGAGCAGCGAGCTAGGTGAATTTGCAAGACAGCGAATCAAAGAACCCGGGGTGGCTAATCCGGCGAGGTCGCTCCGATGCTTAAGTTAGTAAACTGTGATGTAAGATGAAAGCTTAGAGAGCTAGAGAGTAGAAAAATCACGCATACCTCATGTCATTGGGGTTGGTGCCTTTATATAGTCGAGCCCTCGCGGGTTTTGCGGATCGGTTCCGGGATGCAAGATTAGCCCATCAAGTATTACCCTCAATGGTCTTACACTKAACCTCTCARCCCATAATGATCAAACACTGCCCGACAAGAGAGGACCTCTCCCTTGGCT